TCACCGCCACCACCACCACCACCACCACCGCCGCCGCCGCCGCCACCGGCTTACCCGCCCAAAACGCCACCCAGCGGCCAGGCTAGTCCTCCGAAAACCCCACCTAAACCGCCGTCAATTCCACCCAAATCCCCACCGGAACCCTCGTCTCAACCCCCATCATACCCTCCCAAAACATCGCCGCCCTCATATCCGCCCAACACGCCACCTGGCGGCGGCGCCGTCACGCCGCCAGCACCATCCTACCCGCCGTCCGGCCATCCGGGTTCTCCGGTGTACCCGCCGCCGATTGGCCCGTCGCCATATTTCCCGCCGGGCACCGTTGGCCCGTACCCGCCGCCAATTGGCCCGTCGCCGTATTTCCCGCCGGGGAGCGGCGGCCTGACCCCGTTCCCGCCGCCGTCAGGGAACACACTCGTTCCGCCGACGCCGCCGCCACCCGGCGGCGGAGGAAACGGGCGAGACACGACCATCATAGCCGTGTGCGTGTCGCTAGGCGGGCTCTTCTTCCTGGCGTTCCTGGCGGTTGGGTTGTTTTGCCTAGCCAAGAAGAAGAAGAAGCCGATCATGGCGCCGGCCGCCGAGCCGTGCGAGCCGGAGGGAGAAGCCGGAAGCGGCGGAGGAGGAGGAGAGATCAGCGGTGGCGGGGCGCACGGGGGTCATGGTGGGTATTAAATTTTAGTAATTAGGAGGTGAAATTGTTAAAAATCCCGCAGTAAAATACTCAAACGGTGTCGTTTGAAGTGTTCTCAAGTGTGAACTTGTGCTTGCGTGTATGTCTATGTGTGTTTTTCTTTTACATTAATTTTATTACTTATTGTTTGGATAATAAATTAAGAATGTCGAGTTGGTGGTGGAATTTTCACAATACAACAGTTGTATTTTGTTAAATCTTGTATTTTTTGTGGTGTGTATAGCTGTAAACGAGTCGAGTCGAGCTCGGACTCATAATGCTCGAGTTCGACTCGTTCATTAATATTAACTATTGAGTTAAATTCGATTCTTAACGAGTCAAACTCGAACTTTAACGAGCTTAATTGTATAAAATTATATAAAAAAAATCTTATTTTCGAGTTTTAGTGAATCGAGCCGAGCCAGTAACTAAATGAACTTTCAATGAGTTCAAGCTCGCTTCGTTTATAAAACGTGCCGAGACGAACTCGAGTCTTGACTAGTCGATCTCACAAACAGTTGTGGTGTGATTTAATTTTGCTCTAGATCTGTATATTATGTCATTATGTGCACTCTTTAGCCACATTTGCGTTGACATTTGTGCATGACGCCGCATGCACAATTTTGTATAGTTTATTATACCCCACCAACTAAATAGTTAATGAGCCATTTGTGAAACTTTATTATAATTTACTTCAATTCTTATTCAGTTTGACCTAAATAGGATTTCCTTTCACAACTCAAATAAGCTATTTTCAACTTTATAAAGTGAAGTTTTTTAAGTTTTTAAAAAATGCTACAAGTACATAATAATTGTATATAGAGGTGTACATAACACTCAAATAGAGTGGGGTTCACTTAATTTTTTAATTTTAGTCGGTCCCACTCAATGTGAGTGTTATATACACTGCTATATACAATATTATGTACTTATAACATTTCTCTAATTTTTTTTTTTTTTTTTGTTGAACAAACTTTCAGAACATATCTTTTATAGTTTACATGGTGCGATCAGTGAATTTATATGGTGATTATGTTGTGCATTTATGTGATGCAACTAAAATATGGTCACATATGGAATTCGTCTCATTTTTCAATTTAAATTCACTTTTCATACTTCAATCGTGAGAGTACTGAAAAATTTATTTTTGGCAACAAGTTCAAAACTAATATATTGAAGATTTATTCATGCAAGCAAAAGAAATTTAAGGGAAGATCTTCTTTATTTTATACATATTTATATATTTCGGTTTTTATGATATTGTGTATATTTTAGAAAGATTTGCATAATCTTATTATGTTTTATTTCATAGGATGCGGACGCTGCATGGATGTATAAGGCAATGTGCTTGAAGAGAACGATCTTTGAAAGGAGAGGAGAAAATATTCACTTTCCATGTTTCTACCTCATAATTTCCAAAGAAATCAAAAGGAGAAGAAAATTGCTTGAGAAGGGATTCCATGCCTAAGGAAGATATAAATACCCGACTTGAAGATCAATTGAAAGTTGCTAAAATTATTATCGTTCACATATTATCCGAGCTTCAATTGAGAGTCTGAGTTCTGCTGTTAATTTTGTTTTGTTTCGGTATTCAGTCATTCGATGTTCTTACGCTATCGAAGATTTGTAGCTACTTTTGTTTAGCTTTTTTTATTCAGACACTTTGTGTTTAATACCTAGGGATTAAGTATTGAGTTTGCTCGAGAGATTTGAGTGTGTAAAGTCCACGAGACGTGGTCAGAGAAGTAGTTGGTAGGATCGAGTGTAGTTGTGGCTAGGCTAGAAGGGAGTCCTAGTTTTGTAAGTCCAAACTATAAATGAGTGCACAATCGATTTATGAATGAAAGATCTCTGATGGGTAGTGGGACGCTCCCCAAAGAGTTTTTACTCTTGTTTTGTGCTTCCGCTATTTGTAAAATACAAGATTTCCAATCTTAGCAGGAAGGGAGGGAAACGTTGGTGTTACAACACAAATTGAAATTGTATAGATATTCAGTGTTTTAACACAGTTGAGCGCACTCTACATAAGAATACCCACGTAAAAGTACCATATCCCGTGAAAATATGTAAGTGTTTCACATTTTTTGTTCAAAAAAATAAATTGGATTTTTTTATTGGGGCTAAAAAAGATTTCAGTTCTAGACTAAACGTTTGACTTTAAATTTCCAACAATACACATTTCTTGGATCATAATAGTGATTCCGATTACGATATGTAATATTTCTTTTTTTCTTCAAGTGAGGTATGCAAATTGTAACTAATTAAAAAAATTTCAATCTATCTGAATGCAATTTGGAGTACAAGAAATATTTTAGATAAAGCCTTTGAGAAAGTTATAGACGGGTAAAGCAATCAAACGTGGGTGAAATCATATTACTAATTAATCAATTGTCGCTCGCAAATGTAACTAACCTCTATCATTGGCATCACATGCAATTAGAGCATCTTCAATGGTTGAAGTGGATTGACAATTGAATAGATGGTCTTCTGTCCACGTGGATTGAATAGAAGGGCAGGTTGATAAGTAACTCTTCAGGTGTAGATGTCTAGATACTATAAAAGTTTATACACATGTTTTTTTTGTTTTCGTTGTTGCCAAAAAAACTTGCAGAGAAATTGTCGAACAAACTTTGAACCAAAAATCACAATATTTTTATAATGTTGTTGTTTTTGTGCTTTTGTTGTTCTAACACAATGGCAACAAACTTGAACAAACTTTGAACTAGCAAAAAACTTGAATGGACGAATAAACTTTGCTAAAATACTATAAATTACTCTTGTACTCTATCATAGCAACACCCATTATTTATTTTTTGAATAATCAAGTATATTTATTTTTTGAAGAGCTACCATCCACAACCCAACTGGTATTTATCTGGTATTTATATATTTTTTTTGTATTCATCGGTTATATCTATCTGGTATTCATATTTTTTTTGGTATTCATCTGTTATTGATATTCATCTGGTATTTGTATTTTTTTTTTTTGT